CAAAGCAAAACAAAAAAAAAAAAACAATTACATCAACCTCTAAGAACAGGAGGGTCTTGAATTGAGCGTTAGGAGATGAAAAATGTGCTATAACCATGGAAGGGAAAATTTGAATTAGTAGCAAAATTTAGAATTTTCCTAAGAGAAAATCATATTTAGACGTAAAGGCATAGGGCCAACCATCAAGATACGCCCAAGATCTTGGACTGCAGGCTTTCTATTTCCTGGTGGGCCATCAAGACGGATCAGGGGCTGCGACCCGAGGACAGCAATAGTAAGAAGCACGGCCTTGGAGGCAGATGTGTCCCTGGCCATTTTGTGGCTGTCCGACTTTGACCAATTAATCTCTCAAGACTCAGGCTCCTTCCTCACCATTAAAAGAAAAAAAAAAAAATCTTGGAATAATGGTATAGTTAATCGGTTAATCTATGTGAAGTGCTTGGCACAGAATAAGCACTTAAGTTGAGGTGTCATTCCTGTCGTTCTTGATGCTGTGGGTTTCTTAGTCAAGAAGCGACAGGCTTTGAAACACACAAACAGTAAGGAGCGTGTTAACGACGAGGGAGACCGTGGGCTACAACAGAAGAGGCGCGGGGAAGGACAAGCGTCCCCGGGGTGAGATTCATGTTCCGTTTCTCACCTGCAAACTGTCGGAATTGTACACTTAAAGCGTGAATATGTGGTATGTGAATCATGTCTCAATAAAATTACTTTTTGAAGAGGAAAAACAACACATGTCGGGAACGTAAATAGCGAGGAGTGGGAAGGAAGGAAAGGTCTGATTTGAAAAGACGTGAAAAACGGAAGGAAGTTGAATGGCACATACTGTCAGCAGCCGCGTTCTCCTCGAAGGCGGGGTTGTCCAGGCCAGGCTCCTCGGTCCACGCGGGAAGGGACGCCGGCATCCAGTTCCGCTCGGTAGGCGCCGTGCCCGACCCTGAGCAGTCCGCCTCGGGGGATAAAGTACCTGGAGGGCCTACTGTAGTGGGTCCGTTCTCACTCTCAGTCTCTGTCTGAGTTCTACCAGTCTTCCTCCTCTCTAGGGCAAGTCTCCGATGAGCAGCTCCAGGACATCTAGAAAGAGAGCAACAGGCGGTTCCCAGACGATTCGAAAGGACAAAAGCGATCCACAGCTGGCGCCACAGCAACAGAAGAGCGATGGCTTCTCTGCAAAACTTACTTCGACGTCATCCGCAAGCGGTATGTGATTCTGGTGTTAATCTCTGTGCAGACGAAGTCCTTAGCGCTCCACACAGCAAATTTAAAAGAAGGCACTGGCGCAAACCCCGGTTCCGTGTGTATCTCAAAAGAACACTTCAGTAAAGAGACTGCATTCAGATATACACGGGTACCAGAAATACGTACCCCAGTATGGTTGGCACTAAGCTGCAAATATTATTCTGCAACTCTGCTCACAGGACCCTTTCCCGCAGCTTAAATGGCCTAACCACAGGGCAGCAACAGCAATCCTCTTCCGCAATGTGCCCTGGCACCCCGACGGGGACCCTGAGAGGCACTCCGCCTCTCCACCGTCACGGCCAACGTCACACCCTCACTTACTGGCAAAGGCCCGACAACTTTTGACGGACACAGAAGGAGAGGAAAACACGTCTGGCTCTTAAACTTAGAACGACGATAGTGGCATCACAGATATCCTAAGTGGGCTGAAGAGTAGACGCCAAGCACTTGGGAAACTTGCACAGGCACCAAGAAATGAGAATGGTTGTCTTCCTTGTTTTTGCTTAGGGAAGCAAACAAAGAGGGCAGCCAGATGCTTGTTTAAACACTGAAATATGGTCTCTAGATACGGACATCAGAACGCCAGTTCTTGGGCATCTGACATCCTGACCGGACAAAGTGACTAATAATGGCCAGTCTGGAAGAGCAGGAGAAAAGAGGATGGAGAGCCAGACACATGCCCCTGGCCCCTAACACGGCTCCACGGACACCGCTGAGGCTGCATGTGGTGCACGCGGTGGCTGGTGGTCTTACGACGAGGGCGACAGACTTCGTTCAGTGACGGTATTTTTAAAAACCTAAAATTTCAACAAAACTCAAATACTGGGTTAAATTCAACTAAAACTGAAAGCTACCTCTTAACTGTAAAAGCAATACATTTCTCCTCACACATGAAAGAGAAGTCGTAGGTTTCCAAGTTCTTGAAAAGGACCTTTACAGAGTTTCTTCCTTCACCTTTCATTACGTGCTTTCTCTTCACCTGTGTTAAACTGATAAGAACAGATACTGCCCTTGACCTTAGCCAAAAGGCCGAGAAGCGATTCTCTTCACCTTTGTTAAGGAAGGGGACAACTGATTTTCCCTTCTGCGTTGTTGTGCAGCACTCCAGAAAATGATCCTGCAAGGGCCTGATGAAATGTTTGGAAAACTCTATCACTGAGAAAAAGGACTGTTGTCAAGTAAGCAAGTTTAATGAGAAATGCCTTTTAAAAATATTTCATTCAATAAAAAAAAACAAAACTGAGACCGTAAAACACACTTGAGACTAAAAATGTAGGTAAAGATTGAATTCCCCGAATATAAATCACGCATGCAATCTACATGGGTGACAGCTGCTTTTCAATGGGGGAAATGGACGAGGCACAGGAAGCGGGAAGGAAGCATAAGCAGAAGGTTGCATGGCTGGGAAAGAGCCTAGCTGACGGTTATAAAATCCTACACACCAAGTAACTCTAAAGCCTCTCTTATCTTATGCAAGAATAAATTTAAATAAGGAAAACTCTAAGTGTTCAAGAGGTAAAGACAGGTCCACCCACATCCCAATCGGTCAGTAACTGGCTAAGAGGGCTAACACTCACAGGGCTTGTGGGGGGAAAGAGGAGAGGGAGAGACCATTCAAAACCTGTGCTCCTCACTGGAGGGCTGATGGCAGGGGGCAGAGAGCTCCCGGCGTCTGGGTTGGGGTGGGAATTGACAGCACACTGTCCCCGGCAAGAACTTCAAGGCTGCAAACTTTTCAGCCTTGAAAGGGGCCCTGGTGTGGTCTGTGAGGCCTAAGAAACCAGTCAACGACTCACAGTATGAGGACTCTGACTGCAGTGACCGGTCTTGTTTTTACAACTGCACCTTCGGGTAAGAAGCCCAGAACACCACCAAAGGAGTGAAAACTAGAAACACCAAAACCTCCAGAAAGGGGCTCCCGAAAGAAGACATCCACCACAAGAGGAAACCCCCGCAAAAGGCTGGCTTTAGACAACACGCTCTGCCAGAGAGACTGGGAGCCACACTGGCCCTGTCGGTGAAGGAACTCTAACAGTTGATATGGAGGCGGCTCAAGATAAAGGCAGAGAGGGGCGCCTGGGTGGCTCAGTCGGTTAAGCGGCCGACTTCAGCTCAGGTCATGATCTCGCGGTCTGTGAGTTTGAGCCCCGCGTCGGGCTCTGTGCTGAAAGCTCAGAGCCTGGAGCCTGTTTCAGATTCTGTGTCTCCCTCTCTCTGACCCTCCCCCGTTCATGCTCTGTCTCAAAAAAATAAATAAACGTTAAAAAAAAAAGTTTTAAAGAAGATAAAGGCAGAGAAAAACGTGGCAACAGCGAAACGGAAACCGGGGCTAAGTCTCCCCGTATCTCCAAATGCTGTGTAGCCGGTGATGATTCAGATCTGGGAAAGACGACCGAGGGAGAGGATTTTCGGGTGTTCCAGGGAGAAGAAGAGCAGCGTGGGAAGTTGTGGCACAAGAGACAAGGGTACGCAGTGATGGGGGCAGCGCTAAGGACTCTGGACTGGACAAGGGAGTCTGAGGACGATTCTGATTGCAGGGACAGGGAGGGTAGGACGGAGATTTCCCAATGGGAAAGGTAAAGTTCAAGAAATAAAAAAAAATAAAAAAAAAAAAAAAAAAAAAAAAAAAAAAAAAAAGGAGAAGAAACCTAAATCCAAGTGCAACTCTCTGGAGGCCGCCAGGAAAACATAACAAATACGCAGCCCGTCAACTGGAAGCGAAAAACCTAGGTGGGTCCCACCAGCGGTGGGCAGACGGAGCAGCAGCAGCAGGGGCCCGGGGGCACGAGTGTCCGCTAAGTGTCCAAATCAGTCCCCATCTTGGCTTGTCCAGAGCAGCGGGAGTTAAACCTCTGCACCCAAATGGCGCTCGTAGCCAAGTGTGGTCGTAAAGGAACGTTTGATTAAGAGAATCAGTGTTTAAAGTGTTTATGTGTGATGCGTGTTTCTATTTAAGGAAGGTACTAGGGGCGCCTGGGTGGCTCAGTCGGTTAAGCGTCCCGACTTCAGCTCAGGTCACGATCTCATGGTTTCATGGTTCCTGAGTTCGAGCCCCACGTCGGGCTCTGTGCCGACAGCTTGGAGCCTAGAGCCTCCCCCACTCATGCTCTGTCTCTGTCTCTCAAAATTGAATACATGTTAAAAAATTTTTTTTAAAAAGGAAGGTATTAGAATATATAAAGGAATCCTTTAACATCATATAAATTATCTTCACCCATTCTGTGCTGATGCTCTTTGAAGCTATTTAGGGCTTTGCTAAGAGGTTTATTTTCAAGAACTATCTGTAATGTCATTTCCTGCTGAAGAACATGTTCTGTTTTTCTTACATATAATAAGTCATCGCCATTAAGTGGCTGTCAGTTGGACATGGAGGACATCCACATTACAGGCCGTTTTTTCTAGTAACACGATGTTCCTTTTTAGCTTTGTCTGATTTATGGCCCCTTACCACCTAAACTGTTCAGAGTTTGCCTGGCAAAAGGAAATATTCCCAGTTTTTCCAGGAGACATTTCTGAAATCTTACTTAAGTTACACTGTCAATTTTGTTCCAAAGATGTTTCATCATTTAGCCAAATATTTTTACAGAAAGAATTCAGAACTATTCTACACATTAAAATGGTTGCTCTAAATGGCATAGGTCTCCTACTTAGAAGTAGATGTTTTTTGTATAGCAAATAGACTTTAGTGACATTTTATAAAGCTCTCATTGTCAAAACCTTTAATGAAAGAGAAAAGGTTTTGATACGCTCTTTTCCTTGACACTGATGCATCCATCTGTCTGTTTCATGATTAAATGAATCTTGCAAAAAGAAAAAAGCCTCAATATAATTTAAATAAGGATTGAAGTAGACACATCATGTTCTCCAATCACAATTAATTAAAAATGGATCAAAGACTATCATAAAAGTCTTAGAAGACAACAGGTGTAAATCTTTGTGACCCTGCATTAGGGAGTGATTTCCTGGCTATGACACCAAAAGCATAAGCAAATAAAGAAAACACAGAAAAACCGGACTTCATAAAGATTAAACCTGTTTGGGGGCGCCTGGGTGGCTTAGTCGGTTAAGCGTCTGACTTC